CAGGTGGACATCAAGGGGCCCAAGCTGGACCTGAAGGGCGCCAAAGGGGAGGTGTCGGCCCCAGACATGGAGGTTTCGCTGCCCAGTGTGGAGGTGGACATTCAGGCTCCGGGCGCCAAGCTGGAGGGAGACATCGTTCTGGGGGACACGGAGGTGGCCACCAAAGACAGCAAGTTCAAGATGCCCAAGTTCAAGATGCCCCTGGTGGGGATGTCTGGGCCAGGCAAGTCCATGGAGGCCTCAGTGGACGTGTCCCTGCCTAAGGCTGAGGCAGACGTGTCCCTGCCCTCCATCCAGACTGACGTCAAGGCCAGTGACCTCAGTATCAAGCTGCCATCTGCCGACGTGGACATCAAGACAGGTGAGCTGGGAGGGAAGCTCCCCGAGGGTCACCTGCCTGTGGGAGAGCTCCATGGATCGGCCTCTGCAGTAGGCAGCAAATGGCACATGCCCAAGGTGCACATGCCCAGCATGAAGATGCCAAAAGTAGACTTCAAGGGCCCCCAGGTGGACATCCTGGGGCTCAAACTGGCCCTGAAAGGTGAGGTGACTGCCCCTGACTTGGAGGTGTCCGTGCCCAGTGTGGAAGTTGAAATCCAGGCAGATGGCTCCAAGCTGGAGGGAGACATTGTCCCGGGGGTTAAGGCAGTGGCTACCAAAGACAGCAAGTTCAAGATGCCCAAGTTCAAGATGCCTTCCTTCGGTGCATCTCCACCAAGCAAGGATTGGGGAACATCAGTGGACGTGTCTATGTCCAACACCACAGGGACGGCCACTCTCTCGCTCATAGGAGGTGAGATTCAAGGCCCAGAAGGCAGTATCCACCTGCCATCTCCTGACCTCGAGCTCCCTGGCGGAGAGGTGGAGGTCCCCTTGCAGGAAGGAGAGGTGACGCTGGGGGAGCTGAAGGGCAAAGTAGAAGGGGCCAGGATCAAAGGCCACCTGTCCAAGATGCAGATGCCCAGCATCAAGGTGCCCAAGGTGGACATCAAGGGGCCAAAACTGGACCTTAAATGTGCCAAAGGGGAGGTGACTCCTCCTGACACCGAGGTGTCGCCATCCCGTGTGGAGGTGGCTATCCAGGAGCCACACGCCAAGGTGGTGGGTGCCATTGGCCTGGAGGACAAGGAGGTGGCCACCCGAGAGAGCAAGTTCAAGATGCCCAAGGTCAGCATGCCGTTCTTCCGACCATCATCCAGTAAGACGTACTCGGTGTCGGCGCCCGCCCATGGAGGTGCCACTACTGCAGAAGTGACTTCCTCTCCTGACAAAGTGCGTACAGCTGTTGACTCAGCTGATCATTCTGTTTCCACGGGCGACGCGGGTTGGGAGGACGCCACACGTACGAAGTGCCAGGTGTCTCTCCCCAGAGCCAGCGTCTCTCTAGAGATGCCTCGGGAAACCCCCTCTGAGTCCAAGAGGGGTGCGCCCCAGTTCGGCGCCCCCCGTGCTGCCGACCTCCCATCCTGGGAGCCCGTTCCTTCGTCCCAAACTGACAGCCGCCCTGGCCCTGCGGACCCCCCGGTTCACACGTCTTATGGCCGCGTGACTTTTCCTAAATTCCATCGACCAAAGTTCCGGTTTTCAGTCGCAGTGGCAGCCGAGGCCGAGGGAGAGCCCCGCGCCCTGGAGGGTGCCCCCTCCCCTCGCAGCCCCACACAGTTCCTGGACTCTGAGGAAGCCACAGTGTTCCTGGGCTCAGCCACTCCGCTGCCACCTGCAGACGTCTCCATGTCCAGGGGCACAGAAGAGCCCACGGGTAGTGCTGGGACATCTGCCATGGCTGCAGGGGGGGTGCCCGTGGGCGACGTGGCAGCCGGAGCCGAGCGGGTTAGCTCGCAGGACAGCTGGTTCAGGATGCCCTCGCTCCGCCTGCCCAGCTTCTGGCGCTCCTCGAAGGAGCAGGGGGGGCCGGGGGCACCGCGGGAAGGGGAGGCCCCCGCTGCAGCCAAGAGTCCAGGGGTCTGTGCTCCTGGGTCAGAGGCAGAGGCAGCTGTGGCCCCATCGCCCCCAGAGGCAGAGGCAGAAGCAGAGGCGGATGCGGCGGAAGCTCTCAGGGGAGGTCTGCACAGCCCAGCCCCAGGCTCGGAGCTGCACCTACCTCCTGCCAGCATGTCCCCCGATGAGCCTCCCACTTCCCAGGCCCGGGTGGGGCCCGTCGAAGGCCCCCTTTCCCTTCAGACGCCTGGAGGGAGACTTTCAGAAACCCAAGCTCCTGCCAGAGGGGCAGGGAGCACTGAGCACCCGTCTACCCCACCGGAAGGCCCTCTCAGACTGAAGGCTTCGAGGACAGACGTGCCAGCCCAAATCTCCATCGTGGGTCGGGTCTGGGAGGACTCTGTGCTCACTGTCAAGTTCCCCAAGTTAAAGGTGCCCAGGTTCACCTTCCCCGCACCCAGCTGCGAGGCCGACATCTTCATCCCCCCGGCTGTGCGAGAGGTGTGGTGCCCGGACAGCAGCCTGGATCTGGCCCTGAGCAAGGAGCAGCCTGGGGTGTGGGGCGTGAGCCTCCTGCAGGCCGGCGCTGTGGGCCCCGGGCAGCAGCCAGTGGCCTTGGACCTCCCCGCGGAGGCCAGCCCCATTTCCAAGGTCAGAGTCCACATTCAAGGTGCCCGGGTGGAGAGCCGGGAGGTCACCATACACAGCAGGGTCCTGGCAGAGCCTGCTGACTGGCCGGGACCCCAGGCTGGCTCCACTCAGATCGCCCGGGAGTCAGAGATCCCAGCCTCCGAGGTCCAGACGCCTTCTTACGGGTTCTCCTTGCTCAAGGGGAAGGTCTCCGAGAGCCCCTTGCGGGCCCAAGTGCAGGTGGTCACTCAGGGCAGCCAAGCCGCTTCCCAAGGTGAC